AGTTGTTTTCCCCCAATCATTTGAAATCGAGGATTTCCATTGAAATTTTTCCTCCAGGCATAGGCCAGTTTATTCCTGTAAGATTATTCTCTTAATTCTGGTTTAAGTTTGCTGGTTTTACCTGTATCTCTCCCAGGTGTGCTTTACTGGTCCACATGGCTTTGCACAACTCTAAAAAAAATATATATATATATATATACACACCAAATAAATCCTTTGCAAGGAGTTTGCTTGTTCACCAGCTTTCTTCATCCCACGTCTTCCCTGGTTTTTATGTCTTTCCTTTTCCTTTCCCCTTCGTCATCAACAACAACAGACCCACACATTGTAAATTAAGAATGGGCATAAAGAGTAGGTTTGGGGGGGGTTGTGGTTTGTTTTTTGGGTTTTGGGGGTTTTTTTTAACAGATCATGTGTGTAATGACGTTTTCTTGTTTTCTTTTGTCTTTTCATTAAAAGGTTGTGGCGAAAAAATACCGAAATTTCGATTTCCCCCCTGAAATGACAGGGATTTCCAGATACTTGAACAATGCATATGCAAGAGATGAATTCACAAACACTTGCCCTGCTGATCAAGAGATTGAATATGCCTATTTGGATGTGGCCAAGAGAATGAAGTAACCAGAAGATGCCTCTGTTCCTTGCTCCTGAGACGGGAAAGCAAAAGCCAGCAGATGTTCTGCGGGGTGATTTTAAGTTCTGCTATCGGCCAATCCTTTTATAATGATTGTACTGCATTGTTTGCTCCTTCTTCAGTTCTCTGTGTGCATGTTGGTGTGTCTTGCACACACGAGTGTCTCTTGTCCCTTCCAAGGTAAAGGCATCCACCAATATTAAAGATCTGCTGAATTTTGGGAAGCAGTGTAGGTCACACAGTGATAGCAAACCCACAGGCTAAACGGTTGAATTTGGGGCAGGAACAGCCCTGTTTGTGCCCCACCTTTCACCTGGGGGTGTTGCTGCCCCTGCTCTCTGTCCCGCAGTTGTTGCCACACTCCACAGTCAAGGAAAGGTTTCTCTTTGATGACTAAGCCAGGAGAGAGGCCAACCTGCAGTGGGACCACACCTGGTGTCCCCAAAGTTTGTTCTCTGTGCCAGAAACCTGCAGGGCAGGTTGACCTGGAACAACTCCTTTTCACCTGGCACGGCTCCTTTCCTTTGGCATGGAAAATAAATTAAGAAGAATTCCTGCCTTCTACTCTCCCAGGGCTGCATAACCCATCAAACTTCCCCCCCTGGTGCTCCCAAAGACAGGAATTCTGGCCTGGGGACCATCTGCTCTTAGATATTTGATGAGGGAGGAGGAGGGAGAGACTTGGTTGTCACTACAGACAGAAGATGTGGGTGAACATCCATCCCCAGATACTGATGTGGGGTTCCTTTGTCATCCTTCCATGGCTCTTATTTGGATTTGGAAAGCAAAGAGGGGCAGAAGGTCTAAGAAAGGAACAATCCTTCTGTATTCCCTGACAGGAGGGGGAGCCGGGGGGGGTCGGGCTCTGCTGCCAGGGAACAAGGGACAGGAGGAGAGGGAACAGCCTCCAGCTGTGCCAGGGGAGGCTCAGGTTGGAGAGGAGGAGGAATTTGTTGCTGGAAAGGGTGGTCAGGCCTTGGCAGGGGCTGCCCAGGGGCTGTGACAACACACGGACTTCATTTAGCAGTACGGGTTTTATTCAACAACAAATGTGAGGCAGAGACACAGAGAGAAAAGAGGTGTCAGAGAGAGGGAACCAGATGAGCTTTAAGGTCCCTCCCAACCCAAACCATTCTGATTCTAGAAGATTTATGGACTCCAAAAAGTGACATCCACAGCTGCTTCCTGCTGAGCAGGCCCTCAGCAAGGGCACAGGAGTAGAGGGTGCAACACTTTAGTCATCGGGTCACATAAAGGTTTCCTTCCAGTGGATTTTTGTGGACAAAAAAACGCGTGAGAACAGCTAAAAAGGGCCTTTACAGCTCCTGCAGCCACAAAAAGACTCTGAAGGGCTAATCATTGCTGCTTGCCCACATCAAACCTGCGCTTGCTTCCTAACAAAGCTTGACTTAAAGGCAACAGTCAGGGTCAGAGTGTGTCTGTGGAGGCTTTGCTGGGCAGTCCTGGGGCAGATGTGTTTGGATCCCAATCATCTGTCAGTCAGGTTCAACGTGCAGGTTTAGTTTGCCTTTAGAGAGGACGGACACGCCTGCCCTGCCACCCTCAACTGGGAACTCTCCTGCTGGGGTTGGGAGCTGAGCAGTCCCTCGTCACAGATCACTGACTGGTACTGGAGTTTTCAAATGCATAAATATCTAGAGTAGATAAAAAAATGAAATCTGTACACTCTTTTCTTATGCCTTACAAATTTAAGTAGAAAATATACAGATTCTTAAGTAATTTGAGCAGTGTTCTGTCTTTATTTTCTTTGTCACTTCCTGGGCAAACGCATTGCAACTGTGATAATATTTTAAGGAATATAAGGCAAGATTTAATTATTATAAGTAATTATAATAGATGGTATAATTATATATATATTATATGCTGGAGTATATATTAATAATTACTATGATGTCAAATCATTTAGGGTTCTTTATTATATTTTATTTTTAATTTATTGTTTTTTAATAATTTGCTATAACAATTATTTATTTTAGCCAACTTTCATTTGCTGTGGAATAGCTGTGGACGTGGCAGTCCTGCAGGGAGGTTCTGGGAGCAATATGTCCTGGGCTGGCTCATTCCTAACAGCAGGAGCAGTCAAGAATTGAGGAGGTGTCGCAGGTCGGTGGTGGAGTCAGAAGGTGGTCGGTGGTGTCTCTGGAAGTGTTGGAGAAGCACCTGGATGTGGCCCTCGGGGATGTGGCCCTCGGGGTGATTCTGGTAGTGCTGGGGGACGGTGGCACTGGATGATCCTGAAGGTCTCTGCCAGCCTTGAGGATTCCCTGTGGTTCCCCACTGAGCCACCCTGGCACGAGCCGTCCCCCATCGGCGCCGGTTTGGTGCTGCCACGTTGGAAACTGTTTGGTCTCGGTGAGATCCACTTGGACTGATCCCAAGCAGCCAGGGGTTGGTCATCCTGCAGGAACATGTGCACGCAGTGCCCTTGGGGTGCGGGGCAGGCTCCAGGCCAGCTGCTCTGTCCAGGCCTGGCCCGGCGCCGGAGCGGGGCCTAATCCTGGGGCTGTCCCGGCCTGCAGGCGTGGAACAGCCTGAGCAGAGCCCCGAGCACCCGCCAGAAACAAGGGGGGCCCTGGGTCTGTGTCCCTGCCTCTGCCACCTGCCTGTCCAAGGTGGGAGGAGCTGCAGCCCCTTGGGGGGCCTGGGCCTCCATCTGGGGAGTGGATGCACAGACTGGCCCCACTGAGCATGGGGCGGGCACCTGGCACTCAGCCCACGCCTCACGAGGGACAGGCACCGGGAGCCCCTCTTCCACAAGGATTCCCAGCCTGTGTTCCGTGCCTTCTCCTTGGGACAGCTCCAGGACACCCAACTCTTCCTCGTCCTCCTCCTGAGTGTTGTGGGCGGTCACACATTCGCAGTTCTCCAGTGAGAGCTCCCTGTCACTGTCATCTGCACGCTGGGACTGCTCTGAGTGTCTCTTAACTTCCTCTTCAGACAACTCTTGGCCAATGCAGTCTTCCTCCTGGGAAAGCTCTTGGTCGATGCCGTCTTCCCACTGGTAGGTATCGACTTCTTTCTCTTCCTGCCACTTGCAAAGCTCCAGCTCGTCATAGAATTTCCAGTTGTTCTCATCCTCGGCAAACGCCCCCTCCTCAGTTTCCTGGACTGCCAGGACTGTCTCCCCTTCTCCCGCCACCTGCTGCCCACTGAGGGCCTTGGGTTCCACATAGGTGAACACAGGGGAGGAGAGGCAGCAGGGGCTGTGTGGGAGGGAGTCCAGGCTCTCCGGCCTGTCTGCGGTCCCTGTTGTTAACATTCCTGTAGCCCTGGTTTGTTCCAGGTCTCCCTGTTCCTCCAGCTGCTGGTCAAATCCCTGGATCTCAAGCTCAGCCTTCTTCAGGATCTCAGTGGCAATGAGCTCGGCCATGTCCAGCAGGACCTGACTGCCCTCTGAGGGGCTCTGTGGAGCAGGGACTGGGCTCTCTATCCGTGATGCTCTTTCTTGCATTTCTGCACCCGTGCTTTGTTCCAGGTCTTCCTGTTCCTCCAGCTGCTGCTCAGATCCCTGGATCTCAAGTTCAGCCTCACTCAGGATTTTAGTGGTCATGAGCTCAGCCATGTCCAGCAGAGCCTGGCTGCCCTCTGAGGGGCTCTGTGGGGCAGGGACAGGACTCTCTATCCCTGCAGCTGTTTCTTGTGTTTCTGCAGCTGTGCTTTGTTCCATGTCTCCCTGTTCCTCCAGCTGCTGCTCAGATCCCTGGATCTCAAGCTCAGCCTTTGTCAGGATCTCAGTGGTGATTTGCTGGTCACTGCCCAGCGGGGTCTGGCTGCCCTCTGAGGGGCTCTGTGGGGCAGGGACTGGGCTTTGTGTCCCTGCTGCTGTTTCTTGCATTTCTGCAGCTGTGCTTTGTTCCATGGCTCCCTGTTCCTCCAGCTGCTGCTCAGATCCCTGCATCACAAGCTCAGCCTCACTCGGGATCTCAGGGGTGATTTGCTGGTCAGTGACCTGCAGGGCCTGGCTACCCTCTGAGGGGCTCTGTGGGGCAGGGACCAGGCTCTCTGTCCCTGCTGATGGCACCAGCTCCCCAAAGCTTGGAGAACCTTCTGCCTTTGTCTCCTCAGGAGCCACAGGCTCCTGGGGCTCCTCCTCCTCAGCAGCTCCATCTGGGGCAGGAGCTGCTGGCTCAGCCTCCGTGGGACTCAGCGGGGCAGGAGCTGGACTGGGCAGGTCCTGGGCTGCCTCTGCTGCCACCGCTGTGCCCACACTGCTGGGAGAGCTGGGCCCCTCCTGGGGAACAGCCAGGGTGTCCCCAGCACTCACGGCTTT